CCTGGAGGACATTATGCTGAGTGAAATATCTCAGTCACAAAGGGACAAATACTGTGTGGTGCCACTGTTGTAGAATGGGTCTGACATCAGGGTTGGGGTATGACAGAAATAACTGAATAAATTATGTATATTATATTGAAACAGATGAGGGAAAGAACAGATTAGAGGTGATACATGATTGAGTATTATAGTTAGCACAGGAATCCAGAATTAAAATTGCATAGAGAAGTGTATTTGAGGTGGGGGTGGGGGGAAGGGATGGGGGAATTGTATACTAATGAAGGAATTTTTTTTTCCTTTTTCTTTTCGGAGAGAGGAGCGAACTGGTGGGGAGGGGTGGGCAGGGAGAAAAGTACGGCAATGAATGAATGGAAATCCAAAACCTGTGTAAATGTCTATTAAAATTAATAAAATAAAATTTTTTTGAAAAAAACCAAAAACTACCAACCTTTTCATTCACAGCCCACTACTTTACACCCTATGCCACCAGTGCTCCAAACACTGTAGGAGGTTACACTTAAACTCCAATTATGGGGGGATAATCATAGGGTCATACACTTTGATGGGTGGAGGGTGGGTGGGTTAAGGATCCAGTTCTAAAAACAATGTATATGAACTCTGTAAGTAAACCAGTATAGAATAAAAATTTTCTATTAAAAAAAAAACCCACAAGAAAATGCCACTCTAATTAAAGTTATCTTCATAACTTACATTTCCATGTTAACAATATTGGCTCTTCGAAATTACTAGAAAAAAGGCAGAGTGGGACACTTGGGGTTTCCCCCAAATGACTTGTCTGATGCTCACAGATCAGGTTATTCATGTGGGTTATACCCCCCTCCAACCCACACAGGGAGGTCTCCCAGACCCAAGATCACATCCTCCTTTTCCAAGGCTACATAAAATGTGGTTCAGCTCCTCAAGGGAGAATGGATCCCATGTGTGTCTATACACCAATACCCTCAGGCTTTAAAATTGTAGTTGTAGAGTCAGATATCTTACACCATCAGGTAGACAAGCCACTGCCTTGGATCAGGGAAGCCTTCTGCTTCATACTTTACCAGAATACTAAAACACAGAATTCAACAGGAGAGGTTTGGCAAACACAAGATGGATGGGGAAACAGAATGTGTTCTTGTCCATCTTTTTAGAGAAAAGAGGGTAAAGATAAAGGGAAGCCAAGGAGTGAGAGAACATGAAAACAAGGGTGGAGACTCTCATCTTTTCTTTTAACGAGGATTGGAGTACACAGCAGGAAACCCAGGGAGCTGCAGCACAAGCCTTGGTTCATGTAGAATTAAGAAAAGGCTGGCAAAGTCTTCTTAAGTCAAGGGCACCACACTAAAAAGTTATCAGTCCTTTAAGTCACAAAACCCAACTACCACCTAGTATAACAAAAATGCAAATATTATAATAGTGGGGAAAAAAATTTCTCTCAAGGTTCCACAAGATCTGACAAGTGGCTGGCTTCCCACCACAGCACGAGCAGTGCCACATCCTAAAACCTCTCCCCAGCCGAGGACCGCTGTGTGAGAGTCTCTTGATCTGAGAAGCTAGGTGGCCTCAGTGGCTTGTCAGAAGCGTTGTCTCCAGCAGGGTTGTTCTCCTCACCAGACTCCATGTACACGGGCCAGTCATTGTTTGTGTCGCTCTTTTCTTGGTTTTCAGAGGAAGCCTCCACCAGGCTGAGGTTGATGGGCATTAAGTCATCACTGTTGTGGTGCGTGTCTGTCACACAGGTACAGCTGTCACACAGCCCAAAGCGCCGCAGGCCCTGTGACAGGTGACTTGTGAAGGTCCTTCTGCAACCCTTACAGATAATTGGGCGACTGGATCTATGGACCTACAATCACAAACAGACAAGGAAAGGTGATGAAGAGGGTCAAGCCGCAGCCTACAAGGGTCCATGGACCCCCAGCCTCACTCCTGACGACGCTCCCCTTTGCTATTTCTGCCACCTACTCACCTCACCAAGGGCTTGTCCAATCCAGGCCATTGGTACACACGGAACAGGCCCTCTTCTCCCCATTTCCAATTGCTACCCTCTCTAAGACCTTTCCAAAGACAGAGGAGATAGAGGAGAAAAAATAAAAATGGATGTTAGAAGAGACTCTGAAAATTTCACTACAGCATTGAGAAGTCAAAACTAAGGGAAGAGATGCTGAAGTAAAGGAGCTGAGCAGAAGATTTCAAAGGGAAGGTCGAGAAGAAAAAGCAAAATATTGTAATGGAATATGCAGAGACCTTAAATTCGAGAACAAGAAGAGAAGAATTCACTTGGTATTTCTTAAGCTGAAAAAACAGATAAATTCAAGCCTTGAGTTGCAATACTTTCAGATGCTATGAGCAAAATCTTGAATGATGCAGGAAACATTGTAGAGAAAATACAGAGTCACTGTACTAAAAAAACTGGCCAAGGCTGAAATATTTCACGATGTACCATATGATCAAGAGCCCATGGCAATGAAGGAAGAAGTTTAAGCTGTAATGAAGGCATTGGCAAAAATAAGGCCATTGGAATCAGTGGGATACCAATAGACACATTTCAAATAACAGATGCAGCCCCTTGAAGTGCTCAACAGATTATGCCAGGAAATTTGAAGAAAATTGCCTGGTTGACTGACTGGAAGAGATCCATATCTGTTCTGATTCCCAAGAAAGGTGGTCCAACATAATGTGAAAATTATCAAGCAATATCAATATCACATGCAAGCAAAACAGGATTAAAGATCATTCAAGATGGTGAGAAAAGCACATAGGCAGAAAGCTACCAGATGTCCAAGCTAAATTTCGAAAAGGTTGAGGCACCAGGGATAGCATTGCTGATGTCAAATGGATCCTTGCTGAAAGCAAAGAATATCAGAATAATATCTATTTGTCCATTATTGACTATGAAAGGCATTTGACTGTATGGATCATAACAAATTATGGCTAACATTGAGAAGAATAGGAATCCCAAGACACTTAATTGTGCTCATGTGAAACTTTTACCTAGATCAAGAGGTTATTGTGTGAACAGAGCAACAGAACGCTATACAATTTAAAATAAAAGCTTGCATCATGGTTGTATCCTTTCTTCATACCTATTCAATCTGTATGCTGAGCAAATTATTCCAGAAGTTGGGCTCTATGAAGAAGAGTGTGGCATCAGGACATAAGAAAGACTCAACAACAACCTATGCTATGTACATGACATTAACTTTGCTGAAAGTGAGAAGGACTTGAAGCATTTTCTGTAGATCAAACACTGCAGCCTTCAATTTTGATTGCATCTCAACATCAAGAAAACAAAAATTCTCACCACTCAGCTCATGATAGGTGACACCATTCATGATGGGCGACATCATGATAGAAAAAAGGTTGAAATTGTCAACTATTTAATCTCATTTGGATCCAAAATCAGCATTCTTGGTACTAGCAGTCAGAAGATTAGGAGATGTATGGTACTGGGAAAATCTGCTGTCAGAGATCTTTCTAAATTACTGAGGGGCAATGATGTCAGTTTGAAGACTAAGGCGCACCTGAGTCAGATCATGGTCTTTCAATCACTTGCTGTACATCTGAGAGTTGGACAATGAATAAGGATGGCAGAAGAACAACTGATGCCTTTGAGATGTGGTGTTGGGGATGAGCACTGAATATTCCATGGACTGCCAAAAGAACAGTTAAGTCTTAGAGAAAGTGCGGCCAGAGAAGTGCAGCTCCATAGAAAGAGTATTATGCTTGGAAAGGTATAGGGTCAACAAAAAAGAGAAATAAAAATGGCTTAAGAAAGATTAATAAGATAGTTTGGCACAGGGACTGCAGCAATGCGCTTGAGTGTGTCAGAGATGATGAGGATGGCATAGGACAGCAAGGCAGGGTTCAGATCTGTTGTTCATGGGGTCACTATGAGTCACACTCGACAGCACTTAACAACAACAATGATGCTAATAAGGGAGCTCTGGTAGCCTAATAAGTAAGGAGTTGCACTGCCAACCCAAGGGCAGATGGTTCAAATCCACTAATCTCTTGTGCAGTATGCTGTCTCTGAAAACTGAGTAGAAGGTCAGCTATGAGTTGTTTCCTACAACATAACAGTGACTTTGTAATGACTCTGAGCATCTTTTCATCTGCTTACTGCTTACATCTTCTCTGGAGAAATGTCTACTCAAATACTTTGTCTATTTTTCAACTGAATTATTTCTATTTTTATTGTTCAGTTCCAAATTTCTTCATATATTCTGGATATTACACCATCTCAGGGAGGTCTGGGAGCTTAGAGGTAAGGAGATGCACTGCTAACCCACAGTCACATGGTTCAAAACCACCAGCTGCTCTGCAAGAGAAAGATGGCCGATCTCCTCCTATGTGATTTACCGCCTCTGAAACCTCATTGGAGGGTCAGCTATGGGTTGGTTCTAACTCAATGGTGCATAACAACAACACGCTCCATCAGATTCATGGTTTGCAAACATATTCTCCCATCCTGCAGGCTGCCTTTGCACTTTTTCACAGCAGTCTTTGATGTTCAAACTATTACCTTGGGTTGTCCAAAGGCAGATTGCCTGGCTCAAGGAAGATTTTTTTTTCCAAAGATGATTTTAAATGCAACAGCTTTCTAAGTGGCTGAATGTAGTTAAGCTGATGAGAATTCCTGGATGCTGGGACTGGGTGGGACACTGAGGATGCAGTCTACCATTGGCTACCATTGGTAGCCAACTCATAGTTGAACTTCTGGTGGGTTTTCAGAGGCAGTTAATGGAATACAAGGAAATTACTCATCTCTCTCCCACAGAGCAGCCGGTGGGAGGAGACTGCCCATCTTTCTCCCACTGAGCATGCCTTCAGGATTGCAGCACAACTACTCATCAGTAGGCCACCAGAACTTCCTTGAATGACACTAATGAGAACAGCCCACAATCTTCTATCCAAGTCCCATGTTCTCTGCTTTCTAACAATCATGTCTGGTCAGGGATCTAAACTTTCTTGATTTTTTTTCCCCCTCAGAAATCTGGTCTGTTACCATGTAATGTTTAACTATCTTTAAAAGCAACCAGAGGGAGTTCTGGTGAGTAGGTAGTGATGCTGCCGACCCAAAGGTGACGCCTCTCTGGTGTCTGACTCTGCCAGCAAGTCCTAGGGAGAAAGATGGGCCATATCATCCCATACGATTTATAGCCTCTGCAAACCTTCTGAGGGTCAGCTATGAATGAACTAAATCAACAATAATGAGAAATGCAACCATCCTAGTGTCAGTTAGATAACAGGGGGGAAAAATACTTGAAAGAATTTACTATGTTACAATAGAACTCAACTATTTAAAAAAAAAAAAGGATTTACTATTACTTTAGATAACACCATGAACTCTTACTCTGGACATCATGAACCGCCCCTGTCATGAGGAAATGGCCACCTGGGACACTTACGCTCAGGGCGTGACTCCGCAGGTGCTCCTGGCGCGTGAACCTCTTGCCACAGGTCTCACAGGGGTAGGGCCGCTCACCGGTGTGAGAGCGGATGTGACGCTTAAGGATTCCCTTCTGTTTGGCGGTGTAAGGGCAGAAAGGACACTTGTGGAGCTTGATGGGGACCACCAGCACATCACCTGTGGGACCAGACAAATTATTTAGTTCTTCTGTGAGCAGTGATGAAACCCTCAGATAGAAAGGACTCAGAGCTAGGGCAATAGATCAACCTATATAGTTGTTGTTGTTATGTGCCCTCAAATTGCCTGCTACTCATAGTGACCCTATGTACAGCAGCAGAAGCCTGCCTTGTCCAGAGCTAGTCTTACTGATTCCAACACATCAACCCTCATTATCCCAGTCACTATATCAATCCACCTCATCCAGGGTCTTCCTCTTCTGTGCCTCCACTCTTCCAAGCATGATGTCCTTCTCTAAGGACTGGCCATGTGCCCAAAGTATGTGAGACGGAGCTTCAATATCCTAGCCTCCAAGGGGAAACTTGGTGTCACCCTCTCCAAGACAGACTTATTTGTTTTCTTGGTGGTCCATGGTATGTTCAAGACTCTTCTCCAACACCACAACTCAAAGGCATCAATTCTTCTGTCATCAGTGTCTTCTCCTTAGTTATGTCCAGCTCTCTGATGCATAGCAATTAATTGTGAAGACCATGGACTAGATCAGGAGCACATTGTTGACAGTACACTGACAGAGAACTACCAGAAATACAAGCTGGGTTTAGAAGAGGTCATGGCACTAGACACATTACTGCCAATTTCAGATGGATCTTGGCAGAAAGCAAAGAGTACCAGAAGAATGTCTATCTGTGTTTCATTGACTATGTAAAGGTCTTCTTTGTCTGTGTGAATCACAACAAATTGTGGCTAAACTTGAGGAACATGGGAATCCCAATCCCAAAACACTTGCTCGTTCTAATGTGAAACCTATACTTGGACCAGGAAGCAGTCCTCTGAACAGAGCAGGGAAACACTGCATGGTTCAAAGCCAGGAAAGGAGTGCATCAGAGATGCATCCTGTCCCTGTACCTTTGCAATCTATATGCAAAACAGATCATGTGGGAGGCTGGGCTTTATCAGAGGGAATGTGGCATTAGGATTGGGGGAAGACTCATCAGCAACCTACTTTATGGAGATGACACAACCTTTCATGCTGAAACTGAGGAGGCCCTGAAGTGCTTGCTGCAGAAGGTCAAGGACTGTAGTCTTCATATGGATTGAAGCTCAACATCAAGAAGACAAAGATTCTCACCACTGGGCCAATTGGCAGCACCATGATGAATGGAGAAGAGATTGAAGTTATTAGCAATTACAGTTTGCTCGGCTCCACAATCAACACTCTTGGCACCAGCAGTCAGGAAATCAAAAAACTACTTGCACTGGGAAAATCTGCTGTCAGGGACCTCTCCAGAGTACTGAAAAGCAACAGTGTCAGTCTGGAGCCCATACAGAGAGCATACTAACTCCACCTCCAGTTACTTAGCAGGATCTTGTCTGCAAATTCCAACCATGTTTGGCTGTCAACCAGCTGGATGATAACATGAGCCTCTGATTTTAGAGGGAGTGCCATAATGCACCAGCTTTCAAACATCTTTGACTGTAACCTACAGTTAGAAACACAGCTCAACCTCAGGACATACAATGAATAGCTAGGGAAAGTTTCACAAAACAATGCTCATTTAAAAAAGAAACAAACCCAACAATGCTCATTCTAGCAGTTTCTATTCTTCCCCACCCCCCCACTTCATTCTAAGAAAATGTTGATTGAGATGTCCTGAATGATTCTCACAACTCTTAAAAGCTTGAAAAATTTCTGTTAGGAGAGGTTAGACCTAAGAATTAGGATTCACACTTTGTCTCATACATCTTCCAGGCATTTGATAGGGCCTCCTATGATGAAGGCTCTAAAATTGTTTGGGATTCATATTAAGTATATGTATCAGGATGTATAAGGATGACAGAAGAATTGAAGCCTTCGAGTTGTGGTGCTGGAGAAGAGTCTTGAACATACCATGGACTGCCAAGAAAACAAATAGATCTGTCTTGGAGAGGGTGAAACCAAGTTTCTCCTTGGAGGCTAGGATTTTGAAGCTCCACCTCACTTACTTTGGGCATGGAGAGATCTGTCCTTGCTTGGAGAATAACATCATGCCCAGAAGAGTGGACAGACAGCACAGGAGAGGAAGACCCCGGATGAGATGGATAGATACAGTGACTGGGACAAGGGAAGTTTAGTGTGTCTGAATTAGCGAGACTGGCTCAGGAGAGAGAAGGGTTCAGAGCTGCTGTACATAGGGACACTATGCATCACAGGCGACTCAACCAATAACATTCTATAACAAGTTTGGAAGCAGGAGTGGCATCCACTTCATAAACAACATGCCTCCAGAAACTATGAACTTTGATAAATGTTGATGGTTGTAGAGGGGCTTCAGGCCTTTTGTTAATAGGGTTGCTATGAGTCATGCTCGACTTGAAGGCAATCAACAACAACAACGTATATTTCAGGATAGGGCAAAGTTCAGGTCTGTTGTTCATAGGGTCACTATGAGTCATAGTTGATCTGATGGCATCTAAAAAAATGTATCAGGAATTATTAAATAGGCAAGAATTCACAGAAATCTTGTTCCAACTTTTTATTTTCACTTTGCTCATACGACCTTTAATATTTTTCTGTTTCAGATGTTTCTCTGTTTTGCACACTCAGTAAACTCCTATTCATTCTTTCAAGCCTTGCTAAGCATTTACTTCTCCTGTAAAGTCTCTGAACTCCTAGAGAGAATCCTTCACTTTTTTTCTGTGATGACTTCCACCACCTGTACAAAAATAGTTTCTCTCAAGTTTCCTGAATGTACCATTTCCGGGTGCCCCAAGACTTGTTTCCACTTCCTGCAGCATTTTACACACTTTCATCATGTAGCAACGTACAAACTTTTTAGGCACAAGAACATGGTTCAGGGCTTGGGTCTACCAGTTAGCAGCTGGGTGGCTCTGGGTATATTATTTCTCTACTGTCCTTATCTGTAAAATAAGACAATAATAGTTCCTATCTTATAGAAGTGTAGAAAGAATTAAATAACAGCTATTACTATACTATGGAAGAATCTGGCCCAGCTCCTGGTATATACTGTGAACATTTGTAAATCTCATTTCTTTTTATTTAAGTGAAAGCTTATAACGCTAATGGTTTTCTATTCAATTTGTCATTTTCTTCATCATCATAAACATCTCTCCAGTGTTGTTGGGTTTTGGTGTTGTTTTGTTTTTGTTTTGTTTTGTTTTGTTTTATTAGGCATTCCAGGCTCTTTTGATCTCAACCAGCACAGAATTAAACCATTTTCTCCTGGGCCTTCTCAGGATTTCTAACACAGAACAGTGCTGCTCCAATCACATCTCACTTCTCCACTGCTTGACTCAAGGACCAAATCTCTCACCTGGGTTACGGCAGCAGCCTTCAAAGAGGTTCACCTCTACTTTTCCTCCTCCAGTCTATTTTCCATCCAGTAGCTAGAAGGATCCTTTTTCATTATAAGCCAATTCTAGTCACTTTCACTGAGCTTTCCAGTGGCTTCTTATCCCAGAGTAACAGAGGTGGGGTCTTTCAAGGCCCCATCTGATCCACACCACCCTTAACCTCTCTTTCCTCATCCTCATCACCCTCTGCCTTGCACACTCCACCCCTTGCTCACAGCCACACCAGCCTCTATGCTGTTCCTGTGGCTCACTCACTGAGCCTGAGCCTGCACTGAGCCTATGCACTTTGCTCCTGCCTCAGCCTGGAACGTTATTCTCACCAATAGCTGCACCATTTGCTCTCTCATCCCCTTCAAGTTTCTATGCAAATGAAACTTACTAGAAAGGCTTTCCTTGTAAATGTTAATTAAAATAACATCCCCTTCGCTCCCTCTCCGCTTTCCTCTGCTTTAGGTTTTCCTCCCTAAGACCTCTAACCATCGGACACATCATGTATTTCCTTATTTGTTAGTGGTCTATGTCTCTACATAGAGTGTCAGCTCCACGAGGACAAGGACTGTCATTTGTTCAGTCTGGCCAGTCATTGACAGTGCCTGGCACAGAGTAAGAACTCGGGATGTGAATGAATGAGCAAGTGGATGGACGGCAGTGGTGAGATGCTGGAAAGCAAGCCAAGGATGACATGCTGGGTACACCAATACTAGATGACCCATATGACAATAAAAAGGAACAGACAGAAGTGGGAGCAGTGGTACGCAGGGTGCCAAGGAGAAAGAGCAGAGCCAACTATGAGAGAGGCCAAGGAAGATGAACTAAACCCCTGGGCTGGTGTAGGACTGTACATGGCTGACCTCATTAGCAGTTGTAGTGTTGCTGAGGGAGCAGAATCCACATCATGGAGGGGCTGAGAAAAGAGAAAGAAAATAATGAAGGCAGCCAACTAGACGACTTGCCCATGACGAGAGGTGCTGGAGCTGGGGTAGAGGGGTGTGAGAGAAGAGAGCTCTCAGAAGGACCTTACGCTTCAGTGCCTGCTGCAGTCAGCGATGAGGAACACGGGAACTGCAGCAGCCTCTGTGTCTTAGTCTCCCATTTCTAACATCATGTGACCCTGAGGCCAAAACCATCTGCCTGAAGCACAGATCCTGCCCACTCCTACGCTCAGAAATTGAAGAAAAAAAAAACCTCCCCTAAGCCTACAGCTAAAAGCTAACCCTTTAGCATCTAAGATTTTCTATGACCTGATGCCAATCAAATTTCTCCCCACATCTCTTCTTACCCTAAGACATTGTTGTTATGTGCTGTTGGGTAGCTTGTTTCTCGTAGTGACCCTATGTACAATAGTCCTGAAACCTGCTCTACCCTGTGTCAACTTCACTGTCTCTCACACACCTGCCCTCCTTACCCCAGTCACTGAATCAATCCATCTCATCGAGGGTCTTCCTCTCTTGCACTGTCCCTCCACATTTCCAAGCATGATGTTCCTCTCCAACATCTGGTCCCTCCTTGCAACATGCCTAAAGTAAGTCAGACAAAGCTTCAGAATCCTTGCCTCCAAGGAGCAGCCTGGTTTCACCCTCTCCAGGACAAACTAATTTCATGAAATCCTCCCTGATTTCCCAGGCTGAAGCCATTTCTCCTCCTTTTGGACTACTAGGAAACTCATACTTCTGACTTTCAGCCCCAGTACATTTCTATCTTGTAATATTCCTATCATCTCTAAGATACCTTTCGTTCTTTGAAGGATGGATCCATGCACAATTTATCTCAAGCACAAGGAAGGTGCTCAAATATTTATGACCAAAGCTTATGACCAAGGAGTTCCTGGGTAGTATAACTGACAAATGCTTGGCCACCAAAGGGTGATGATTTACCTCCACCAAGAGGTAGGTGCCTCTAAAGAAAGGTCTGGTGATCTGCTTCCAAAAGATCACAGCCATGGGGGACGGAGGGAGGCGGAATGAGCAAACAAATCAATGCCACTCTGTGCATTGGCACTTGGAGTAAATTTACCCTGCAGCCACATAAATGGCATCTAAATTTGGCACAAAACTAGCTTGGGAAGCTGTCTTCCACAACACATGGTAGCTGGAATCCTAGTTTACAGAATGATAAAGACAGGACATGAGTGGGAAGATAGTTTAGGACTAAACAAACTCTGGTGGCCTACTGGTAAGAGGCTGCACTACAATCCTGAAGGTATGTAGTTCAAATTCACCAACTGCTCTGCAGGAGAAAGATGGTGAATCTCCTCCTGTGCAGTTTACTGCCTGTGAAAATCCACTTGGAGTGTCAGCTCTGACTCAACAGCACACAATAGCAGCACAGGCAGAAGGACTGAGAAAATCATCCATTTGTGTTGCCTTCACAGTTTGTTTGATGGGTAGAATGAAGCTAGCCCAGAGTTCTAGTTGTAGCTGTGACACTAATTTACCAGTTCTGCATTCTTGGGAAGCTCATTAATCTTCAGAGGCTCAGCTTCTTCAACACAGTTCTTTGCCAAACTCATGGGCATTACTAGAGTTAAGAGGGTCTAATGATTGTAAATAACCAGTATAAAATTTTTTAAAAAGGGGGTTTAATGAATGTGAAAGAACCTCTTCAGTCAGTGAAGTGCTTCACAATTTCAATAAATTTCCAGAATATGTCTGTTGAAGTAACTATCTTCAAATGCTGATTTAACCAAATGTTTCTGAAGACCATTGGTGGTATTTTCAACTTAAGCTTGAATCCGACATACAGTGTGGACCTGCTTAAAGAGAAATTAAATTAAGAAGTCTCAAAACAGTCATTTAATAATGAATAAAAGTAGCCAAAAGTAGCCAATCACTCTTTATTTTCAAGATTTTTCACTCATCAGTCCTGAAGGGAGAACTAGAAATGTGATTCATTGATTTCTTAGCTTGAAACTCTTGCAGTCAAAGGGTACTTTCATTAAAGTGGTAGCCAATTGCATTTCTGTGTCCTACAAGACACCTTATAACACACTTATCTCACCTGTGGAGTTAATAATGTTAAATTCAAAACTCAAAAGCTACCACAGTAAGGAATTTACTCACATGACGCTAAATGCCATCTATCTCTAGACTATTTTCAAACAGAAAGCACCATCAACCACGTCATGTTCTTTGAGTGCTTACTATGTGCCAGGCTCTATGGCAGAGACATGTGAATGTCCTGCACACATAGAATATATGACTGTACACCAGAGAATAACAACCTTCTAATCTGGTCCTCCTAAACAACCCTGTGAGAAAGCCAAAGCAAGTGTGATCCCAATTTTACAGATGAATGCAACAGATTTAAAGAGAGTCAAGGGTTTAACTGAGGCCCCACTGCAGGTTAGTGAAAGAGAGTAGGGGTCTTTTTATAAACTTAAATTGTCTTCAATATGCTTATATGCCAGTTGTAGAGGTCCTGCACACAGTAGGTACTCAGTTAATACCTAGTGGTGGTGGTGACGATGGTAGTGGTGATAGAAAGGATGGTGGCAATGGTGATGATGGTGAAGACGATGAATGGTGGTGACATCAGTGGTGATGATGACAGAAGAACACAAAGCACAGATGGTCCAGGCCAAATGGCCAGCAGAGATGATGAATGCTGATGGTGCTGGCCGTGCTCACCTGAATCCTCTCCATACCAGTCGGTCTGGACATCCACCAGGGAACTCATAGTTGCTCCTGCACCATCTGCCCTTGCCTCCAAACTCCGAGAACAGGGATGGTCCGCATCATCCTTGCTCTGGACAGCGCTGTTTTGTAGGAGTGCCTTCAGGAACTGCTTCATGTGGTAGTTACTGTAAGCTAAGTCCACCGCCTGGCCACTGGGCAAGCCCTCCTCCATCTGAGCCAGGCTCAACGGGGCAGCAAACTGGTGCAGCTGGTCACCGACCTCCACCTCAATCTCATCAAACTCCATCTTGGGTTCTGTCCGTTTGAGAGGAGTAGAGAGGTCACTGTCGGCTGAGCCACTACCCTGATCGTCTTTTACCTCCAGCGCCAAAGGGTGGCAGCCTCCACAGTCACCACAAGAGGACCCCCTCGGACAGACCACACTCTCCTCTCCCTCAGCTGGGGAGGACACCAAGCTCTTGGTAGCGCAGGAGGCCACGTCTGGGCCTGAACCGAGGCCTCTGCTGTTAGTCTGATGAGCTGCCGCCGCCGCAGCAGCTGCTGCTGCCGCCACCGCCGCCGCCACAGCGGCCTCCTTCTCCATCTTTCGGCAAATATCGAGGGATGACCTGATGTACGCCTTGCAGAAGTTCACCACGTCGTTCATCTGCAGGTAGCTGGCAGCCGACATCACCTCGATCACGTTCTCGCCACACAGATCCAACTTTCCCGAATAAAGAAAGTCTAAAATGGTGGAGAAGGCATCAGAGGTGACAATATCCAGCGAGGCGGTGCTGTGCCGCCCACTGTCTTGGATATAGTGGATAAGCAGGGCTCGGAAGTAGCCGCTGTTGGCAAACAAAATGTTCCGGTGGGCCTTGAAGATGCGCCCCTCCACGATGATGCTGCAGTCACAGAAAAAGTCCCTCTTGCGCTGTTCGTTCAACTCCTCCAAGAGCTTGCCGTAGTAGGATTGCATCTCCATGTCTGCCAGCTGCTGCGGCTCCGGAATAGCCTCTTTCTCTGCCAAGATGATGATTTCTTTTTTTTTAAATAAACAAATGCCCGCTTGAAAAATAAGATGTTTGTTTTTATTTTTCCATAAAAAGTCTTTCAAAACCTGATTCAAGAGTATCGTATCATGTGTAATACACGAGGACCTAACAAAAGTCAGAAATTGTTCAACTGAGTTAATGCATTAAAAACAACAAAAATAACAGCCCTATGGGTGTGGCAGTTAGAGTACTTGGCTATTAAACAAACCGCTGGCAGTTCGTACCCTTCAGCTGCGTTAGGCATGAAAGATGTGGCCATTTGCCTCTTGAAGGTAACAGGCTCACAACCCTATGGGGCATTTCTGCTCTGTCCTATTGGGCTGCTATGGGTCAGAATCAACTCAGGGGCTATTTTTTTTTATAATAAATGCACATGATACTTAGTTTTTACATGGATTATTCCAATAATTCCTTTAAAGCTCTAAGCATAAGTACTCATATTGTCCCCACATTTCTGACAAAGAAATCACGACTCAGAGAAAGTAAGAGATGATTCCATAAGCTGCTGGCCAAGTCTCAGCATTCTTTTTTTCTCAAGGCTCAAAATATAGAGTTCAAATCTAAGCATTACAGTTCTGTTTCCAGCTCTCCAATGTGAAATGTTATTGTGTCCGTTTCTGTCAAATGGATTCTGACTCATGGTGACCCCATCTGTGCAAAGCTTCTGTGACCTTTTAGAACGAGAGGGTAGGCCTGTCAGAAAAAGTGCTCTAAGTGAGTCTGCACAGCTAACCTTTCAGCAAGTACTCAGGCTCTTAATTTCCTGCGCCACTCAGGGACTCTTCACTTGGAGCTTGGAGACCAGGAAGTAACAGCTTCAGCTGTCAGAACTTTTAGTCCATTCTTGTAGTATCCAGCATCTAATCCCCATTCTTATCTTTCTAGTGACATTTTAGGCTTTAAGGAAACTATTCATTGCCCATTCCTAGCCAATATGCTTTGCATAATACATCGTCAGGCTTTGAATGTGTAAGATGTAATACAGACTATTCCATCCATCCCCTGGTCAGAGATGGCCATATCATGAGGTCAGAGCCAATGAGAAGCAAGACTCATTTTTCTGGGGTTTCTGAAAGAGCGCACTCTCAGACGTATCCTGGGATTCCCATCTGTGCTCCTACTCAAATTCTGTCAGAAGTTAATTAAGTCCCTTTGGGCTTCAGCTGGTCTGAACTGAATTTTCCACCCCTTACGATGGACAGACTCCAGACCCATTGACTCCACTGCCTGTGCTTCACCCAGGGTACTGACCTTGCTCTCTAAGTCTTTTGATGACACAAATGCCATTGAATTGCATTTTAGATCCTGCACAGTCAACAAGATGGACTGGTAGAGAGCATCCCAGAGATTGTGAGGATGGCACAGGATAGTGTGAGGTTCTGATCTGCTGTTTACAGAGTCACCATGAGTGATGGACAGATTACTCCACGGCACATAACAAACAACAAGGGCATCTGGCAGAGCGCTTTAGACAAATGTTTTTAGGTGTCGTCAAGTATAACTCATATCAAGCCTGTGAACAACAGATCTGAACCCTGTCCTATCTTCTGCCATTCTCATCACTTCTGACATACTTAAGCTCATTGCTGCAGTCACCATGTTGGGGTCTTCCTTTTCTTAATTGCTAAACATAAACTCATTGCTATAGAGTCCGTTTACCTCACAGTAACCTCGTAGGGTGGAGAAGAACTTCCCCACCCGCTTTCTAAGGCTGTAATCTTTACACAAGCAGACTGCCTCATCTTTCTTTCATGAAGTGGCTGGTGGAGTCAAACTACCAACCTTCAGTTACTAGCCACGTGCTTAACCCTGTCCCAGCAGGGCTCCATACTGCTAAAAAGAAAGATATGAATCAAGTTAAAAATCCTCTTACTGGCTAACTAAGTGGTCTCCCCTTCATAATCATCCATTAGCTACCACTTCTTGCTGACGCACTGAACCCAGAGAAGTTCCTACAACCAAATACATCATCTCCTTTTGTAAGAGTCCAAAAAATATATAAATGGAGGTGCTAACTGCTATTAACAATCCCTTCCTACTCTTTCTTTACTCAGAAGAACACAAAATACCTTACACCAGTAGAAATCAAGCTGAGGGGGGAAGTCCCTCAATGAGGTGGACTGACACAGTGATTGCAGTGGGCTTGAGTGTATCGAAGATTATGAGGAGGGCACGGGATAGGGCAAGGCTCAGATCTGTTGTTCATAGGGTCGCTGTGAGTCATAGTCAACTCTACAGCACCTAACAATAACAACATTAGAAATCAGGGAACAAAACACTGGAGTGGGGGGACGTCCAGCAGGAAAGTGCCATGATTGGACTGAACTGCTCAAGACTTCCCTTAGGCAAGAGGGAAGTGGTGAGGAACTCATGGTTAAATGTCCTCATGACTTGTAGTCCTCACAGCTTTTACTGAGAAGTTTTTCATGACAAAAGCAGTAAAATATGTTAACTGGACTCCAAGTTTTTTTATGTATTCTTTTCTTATTTGCTGACCTTCCCTATTTCCGTAACTACACCTTTATCAGAAGGCAGCTTCAGCGTGAGAATCAAGGTCTTGAGTGCCCCAGTGTTTATTTTGTCATAACCTTTGATTAGCTTAACATGTGTGTGTATGTGTGTGAACTTCCTTCAACCAGCAAAATAAGATTGTCCTAGTCCTCAACAATGATTGCAATAACTTTACTCAAAGTACTTAAATGATCATTTATCCCTTTCACACACAGTTGGTTTTTTTTTCAACTAGTGCTGTTATATTTGGAGGAACACTCTTCCACTTTGTACATCACTCTTTGTCAATGTGCTGTATGAAGTAACCTGGGTTTGCTGTGATGCTGAACCTTGTACCATTGAGGTATCAAATACCAGAATGGTTTCCCAATGTGGACAGTGTTTGGTGGAGCTGCCAGTTGTAAAACAGGTTTGGAAGCAGGAATGACATCCACTTCCTAAACCACATGCCTCTGGAAACTCTATGAACTTGGAGAAATGACAATAGTTATGGAAAGGCATTAGGTCTTTTGTTCATGAAGTCGCTATGAGTCGTGCTTGACTTGTCAGCAATCAACAATGACAACTTAAATGATCATTTATACTTCTCACACACTTTTTTTTCAAATTTTTAAAATTTTATTATTTTTTGTGTATGTACCATCAAATCATAGGTTTTTCATGGATTGAGGCTCAATGTCAAGAAGACAAAGATTCTCACCACTGGACCAATCGGCAGCATCAGGATGGATGGTGAAGAGATTGAGATTGTACACAGCTTTAGTTTGCTTGGCTCCATAGTCAACAGTCTTGGCACCAGCAGCCAGGAAATTAAAAGGCGCATTGCCATGGGAAAGTCTGCTGTTAGGGACCTCTCCAAAGTGCTGAAGAGCAGTGGTGTCTCTCTGGAGACTAAGGTGCGTCTGATACAGGCCATGGTCTTCGCAATCACCTGTTATGCATCAGAGAGTTGGACAATGACCAAGGAGGATAGAAGGAGAACTGATGCCTTTGAGCTGTGGTGCTGGAGAAAAGTACTGAGAATACCATGGACTGCTAGGAAAACAAATAGATTTGTCCTGGAGAGGGTTAAACCGGGTGGCTCCTTGGAGGCAAGGATTCTGAGGCTCTGTCTAACTTACTTCAGACATGTAGTGAGGAGAGACCGGTCCTTGGAGAGGGACATCATGCTTGGGAGGGTGGAGGGACGGCGCAGGAGAGGAAGGCCCTCTATGAGGTGGATTGATTCAGTGACTGGGATAACTGGGATGGGAGTGTCAGAGACAGTGCGATTGGCACAGGACAGAGCGGAGTTTAGGGCTGTTGTACATAGGGTCGCTATGAGTCGCAGGCGACTCGACGGCACATAACAACTAACACCATCAAATCGGATCTGACTGGTACAGAAGGAGATTGCCTGTCCTTTTCCAGCACAGCATCTGGTGGATTTGAACCATGCACCTCTGCGATTACAGTGCAGCTTCTTGCCACTAGGCCACCAGAAGCTCCCTTTCACACACATTTATAACTAGCAAACAGTAAAAGTTCAGTATCTACAGAATTAAGTAGAAAGTGGAGACTCTGTATGCAAACAAACTGACAAACTAAAGCCAGCTTAAAAAAAAAAAAATCTAAAAAGCAGACCTAGGAATTTTTTTTTAAATCACCTTGAGGCTATTTAGCTAAGGGTATTTTTAAAATACTTGCATATTCAAAATGGCCCAAAAGCATCACTTAAATTATAGCTCCGGGCAAGAGCTGATGGTTCTAAAGATGTGCCTAAGGCATCAAGAAGATGCTCCTATTTTTAAACTCAATTTATATCAAAATTTTAATATCTTCCCATCCAAAGCAGTTAAAATTAACATTTTTGTTCCAAAGGGAGGACTGTCAGGCATGTGAGGATGTCTTCACAGGGCTGAGGCTTCATTTATTCAAGCCTCTCCCCACTGTTCAAACCATATCTTCTTTCCCAGCCAATTAAAGTACTGAGGGGGAAAGAAAATACAGAAAAACACTACTTTTAAATATCACATATTTTTTTTTCTCAGAATTGACAGAAAACCTAACAGACTATGAATCATTCTCCAAAATACTAATAACCAGTGTTGGTGAGAGTGTAGTTTGGAACACGATTTTGGAGGAGAATTTGGCAATACTTACAAATTTAAAATGCACACACTGATTGCCCAACATGTAATTGCTAAAAATGTACTGTTTGGGGTATACTCAGAAAAACCCATCAAAATAAATGCTTAGAGGGGTTCACTGTCTATTATAAAAGGGACAGTGTTTTGTTGTTAGTGGAATAGACCGTTACTCTGGATACAGATTTGCCTTCCCTATATGTAATGTTTCTGCCAAAATTACTATCCATGGACTCCTAAGTGCTTTATACATGCTCATGGTATCCCACACAATCAAAAGACTCTCTCTCCGT